ATCAGAATTGATAACTGAAAACATAGTCAAAGATATGCATAACATTTATCTAATATTATGTAAAAATAACATTTTATGAATACAGTAATTTCTTTTTGCCTAAAATATTTTGATATTTTTTGAAATATATTTAGTTTTTGGTTAATTCAAGAATTTACTACTCTTTTACTTTTATAAAGTCTACTATTAATATTGTTTGTAACGTTATTATAAAGGGTTAATTTAAGTATTTTGTTTGGTACTGTAGTTTTCAACTATTATTTTTATTATTACAAAACTTAAAAATATTTATTGAAAAAAGTGTTTGAATCTCTCAATAATCAAAATCGAAACAAAATAATTATTTCTAAACTCTTGTTATCATTAAATATAATAAACGTCACATCAAAACACACGTAAGTTATATTGTTTTGCAATTAATAAAAACTATGCACTTTTTTGTACTTAACACTTATAACATATAACATATAATTATGAGTTAAAGAAATTATTTGCAATAAAATCTTATGATTAGATCAATTATTTGACGTAAAGTCAGGCATTAGTCTAAAAAATTTTCATTTCGTGATTTTATGTAAATTCATTTAATGTTTTGATCATTAATTATGTTTTTACCATAATTTCTGTGAATTGAAAAAATATAATCATATGATAAATGCTGCGAAAAATGTTAATTATCTAAAATTATAATTTTGTCTTATTTTTGCTGTGGTTTGAAAAGAGTGAGACAATTGTCGCCAAACTTTATAGTAATTAAAAATAAATATTTATGTTTCGCAAACAGTTTTAAAATTAAAATAGTTTTGAGTTTATTATTAATATATTTCTACACTTAAAAATTACTATAAATTCTGCATAAAAATGTTATAACAAAATAATTTATTTTTGTTATCATTTATAATAAATAATGTCTTAAGTGTTGACTCTTAAAAACTCTTGACTTTGTTTTTCAGATCGATTATTATTATTGTTATTATTATGACAACAATTCCCTAAAGTTGTTCACAATTTAATATTTTTATTTATTTTCATTTATAACTGCTATTATTTTAGTAGAAAAATAGATCAAAATTTCCACACAAATTGTCACAAACGCAATAAAAAGCTATCGATTTAATGATTATTTGAGCTAAAAATTATGATATTTAATGTAAACTATATTTTCCAATAATGCCAGTGATCTTCCACTCATATGACAGGAAATGGTCCAAAATTATATAATAAAACTAAAGCATATTTAGAAACTAATGGTTTTTGAAATTTCTAATAAAAATACATTAAGTTATAACTCTAACTGCACATAAATCAACAATTATTTACAAATTAAAATAAATAAAAGTAATATTTTTAATCACAAGAATAAAAGTAAAAATCAAACCAGAATTTATCAATAAATGAATTCATTCAAAGCCAATGACACTTTACATACTTTAATATATATTAAAAATGACTTTAAAATGTAATGAAATGAAAGGTAAATGAATTGATAATTGGGACTAACTTTGGTGAGGACTTCACCGATGGCTCCGTCGATGCGTCCGGTCTGTGGATCGTAGACCCCGTACTTGCCGTCCGGCGCCTCATATAACTCGTAGTCAAAACCAGCGCTCTTTGATATCTTGTCTATGAGTTCAATAGCATAGCCATCGTATGCTATGTTTCCGTTCCGGTCCTGATATCTCTCCACAAACGGCCAGTTCTTGTAAAACATAATTATAACACACGTTAACACACATTACATATGATTTAAATGGATGATTGTTAATATACGCACAGAAATGGTCACTCCTTTCAGTATTAGGCAATTGTTTGCATGAATTAATAAAATCAATAAAAATATTGAATAATAAAATAAACACATTTTGTATTAACAATAATACGATTATTAAATCAAGATTTTCGGTAGTATTTCATTAAATTAACTAAAATTATTTTATTACAAAAATTTTAAGACAATTTTTACTCTCACTCTAATTGTTCGCTCTTTTAATGTTAACTTTGAGTGAATTTTTTGAGGCAAATGTTTTTTTGTGGTGAAATCTATTTTTAAATAATGTCTCACTGAATGATGTTTTTCATCTCCCGGTCTCTTCACTCAACATTAAGTGGAGATGAGATGCAGTGCGAGAGAGAGAGAGAGAGAGAGAGAGAGAGAGAGAGATGTAGGAGACGGATGAGTCTTAATATGTGAATAAATTGTTAAACTTATTATATTAAGAGTAGATCTGGAAAAGAGCCAGACTTTTTTGTGAGTCAGTTCACTGTATATTTGCGGCAATAAAACAATTTGCTTTACATTGAAATACTATAAAAATCAATGACTCTATGCTTTGTTATTCCCGGGATAACCACATCTACACCACTGTATAAACACTTCAAAATTGATAATAATTTACCAAAACTTTCAATTTGAATCATAATTGTTATTCTGTATGGAAAACTATGTTGTATTCTGATTATGAATAGCAGTTTTATTTTAAAAACGACACTTTTTAGCATAATGATAATTATGTAACGAACATCTTGGTTATACCATATATTTTCTAAGACATTATTGTGGATGCGTTTAAATTTCTGAACAAACGTTTTTTGTGAACATATTTCAAAGGCATTTATAAAATATGTGGGAAATGATACTAAAAACTATTTTTTTCCATCAGAATTGATAACTGAAAACATAGTTAAAGATATGCATAAAATTTATCTAATATTATGTAAAAATAACATTTTATGAATATAGTAATTTCTTTTTGCCTAAAATATTTTGATATTTTTTTGAAATATATTTAGTTTATTTAATTTGCGTGTAAATTGTTAAAATGTGGAATTTGATTAATTTTGAAATATTGTTAATGAATTGTCTTAATGTTTAAAATCATGGCATAATTTTCTCAATGATTTATAATAAGTATAGTATTGAATTGAAAATTAGATTTTGCAATGTGTTAGACAATAATGTTATTAATTTTACTATAATAATCACACATTAATAATAAGTTATTATGTATGTTATTAAAATACTATGTACAGTTAGCGTTACATTATTTTTATAAAAATATTTTTAAAACTACAATTAAGCCTAGTTTTAATACTCAAAAAATATATTTATTTAAAAATAACCCTAAAATATTAAACCGATATTCATTTCGTTTAAATTAGTGAAATGATCCAATCAAGAACTACGTGCATATTAATAATTTTCCAATATTATTTAAATTTATAACTCTCATAAAGGTCTGCCAAATTACCTATAGTGTACATAAATGTCCCTAATGTTATCTTTAAAATGCAGTTGATTTCATCCAAATCGGTTCACGGGTTGGCTCACAATTAAAGAATTAATATACGCTTAATATACCAAAAACCTGTACATTAATAAAAAATTTTCCACAAATATCTTAAGTTTTTATAATTAATATCCCAATGACTTTGGGCTTAAAGATGTAAAATCAGTATCATTTTGACAAATGTGTTATTTTCGTGAAATTCATAGATTTGTTGAAAAATACTTTTATCAAAAATACATCAAATTTAAAAATAAAGCATTTTATTTGCGAATTTTTGTTGCGAAATGAGTACTAATTACTAATTAATACACTGTTAATGCATGTCATTCAGTCATTCATATATACATGTGTTTGTCGTCACAGTCGGTATAATTTGATATTAAAACTCAAATTTTAAATACAATTTTAATCAGTTTTAGTAATGATTTGATTAAATTTTTCCAATATTACTCTTACATACAGTATATAAGTGGCGATATCAGTGATTACTCTGTTGTTTGTCAATAATTGTGTATTAATACCGATAAATAGCAAAACATAAGATTGTGCACAAATTATTGTAAATTATAATTGCATTTAATAGTTATCTTGTGATTTGTGCGAAAATTATCAAACATTTAAAACAGTAAGTCTATTGAAAAAAGTAATAGAAATTAGTAATTATATAATGATTGAAATATTGTCTACGTATACGCAATACGTGTTGTTTTTTCAAAGTAAACTAAAATACGAGTCGATATGAAGGA